TGATATGCTAACAAGACATCTGTGGACCCCGCAAATGTCGGTGGATTTCCCCGGATGAACGAGTGACGAACTTTGTCCCATGACATTGGCTGTGCCACTGGTTCAGGAACAGGTACTATCGGAGGAGGTTGCTGGTTTCGTAGAGCAGATGCTACTCCTGCTGCCACCGCTCGTGCAATGATATCAGCAACTTGAGGAGAAAATTCCTGATTCTCATTTTGAGTTGGGGAAATACTGCGATGACGGTTCGCATTCCTTGTCCCACGCCGAGACATCCTTCTATTAAATTCAGAAAGAATCTAACGTCAGTACATTATCATGGACCGACTAAAAGAATACAAAGAACCCTAATACTTAGGCTCTAATTATCAGAATACACAACGCGGAAGTATAGTAATCACAGATCCCTAAGACACTCGAACCTGGAATGCTCTGATACCAACTGTAACACCCCCACATTTTCCACGCATAAGTTGATCAGGCTTATACACGAAAAACGAGGGATATCAAAAACAATTGGCAATATACAAGCATGGAATACAAAATGATGATAATAAAAGAATTTAGACCGGAAAGGAACACTAAATAATACAACATCCATCCATCCTTTATTTAATACAGTACTTCATTACAACTTGGAAATCCTACGTCAGGGATCCCTAAATATAACCCTGAGAGTTCAACGTCAAAAGTAAATAAAAACTGAAACTGAAATACTACATAAAACTTCTACCCTGCACTGGATCGTAGGAGTAGATGAGTTCGGATGATGGTCCCACACTGCTAACCTCAGCCTTGAAACGGATACTGACCGTATCCTGAAATAACAACAATGGTGGGTCAACCCCACGAGCAAGTCCTCTCTACTATGACCCAAATCAGAGAATCAAATAAATTAATCATTATGAATCGGATGAGTACTATATCTGTATACATCCTACGGGAACTATCCGATGTATAACATGACCTCAACCAGAATAGACGGTGATCACTTAGACTCACACTAGGTGGTCAAGTGTCGCCTTTCCCTACCCGGGAAATCAGCTATTATACATGGTGTACGGTACTGACAACGCAGACTATAACGAACTACACAGTGATAACACCTCGCAAAGTACTGATGAATATACTGAGCATATAAATTAGGCAACACATGCCAACAATATTAATAAATGTACCGAGAATGTCAATTTAGGCAACACATGCCAATAATATTAATAAATATACCGACTATGTCAATTAGGCAACACATGCCAATAATATTAAACCACATACCCCGACAGCCACACATCTGTCTATCGCAACGAATGCATAAGGTATAAATGAGTCTAAACTTATTAGCCAGCTCATATGGTTCTATATGGCAACACATCCATATAATATAAATGCGACATAATTAAACAGTCCATTTATTTCCTGAAATGCACACAGCATAATAATCATGGTTTATATATCAATTAACAGTATAAACATCCTATAAGATATCATGGATAATTTATCTGACTAAAACCATGGCCTTATTTAATTTAACAGTAATGTTTGATACCATTAAATACGATAATAACACTATTTATATTTAACAATGTCGTTAAATAAATCACATTAGTATCCGTACTGCGAACGAGCCAATAAATGCTTAGAAAAGATTAATCGGCCATAAAAATAAGTAACGGGTGTTAAAATAATAATTTCGTGGCCCGTTAAACCCGTAATTACCAACACAGTACCTAAAAATCCAAGTTTAAGGTTCTGGAATTTACAAAACAGGCCCTAGGGGTATTCTGGTAATTTCCAGCAGCTGTAGGGACCCCACACGCGCCCTCACGCGCCTCCCAGAGCCTCCCCACGCGCAGCCCAACCTTCCCCACTCTCCCACGCGCCTCCACGCGCGTCTGGCATCAGCCACGCGCTCCCACGCGCGCGCACGCGCTGCCACGCGCGCACTAAGGGTGCCTTGCTGACGTGTCACTTCCTGGTTGGTTGGCTGCATCCGGATTCCGTACTCGCGTCACACCGGATCATCTCACCCTATCTTCCCTCCATCCAACGCCCACAGATCCGGGTGTACCGCGGTATCATGGACCGCGATGCACCGGATCAATCAGACTCCACTAATGGCCAGGATGCGCGCGTACACCCTCCTATGGTGTGCCGCGTCGCACCGGATCACTCCGGTCGTCTCCCCCACTGCCGGCGACCGGAAAACTCGCCGGAAGGTCGCCGGAAATTGCAGAAAATGCCCGGAAAAATCTAGAAAATTCTAGAAAAATCCCTAAAGTCTTATTTAATTATTTTTAGCCATTATTAATTTCATAGGACATTAAATAAATATATACCATCCTATATAATTAAAATTCCATTAATTTAATAAAATAAAATTAATAATTTATTAACCTCCAAACCTTGGCTCTATGCATAAAAATAAGCTAAACAATTAATTTATTAATTCAAAGGGGAAAAGTAGATAATAACTTGCCTTTTTGGATTTAAAATAAATCCGCCGGTCTGCGCGTAGTCGGGTAAAATTGCCTACACCGGTCCAAGCTTCTTTCTCTTTCTCTTTTCCTTTCACTCTTATAAAATAGCTCTCTAGAATTTATACTTTGCTTCTAACTCCCTTTTATTTTTTTCTAAGGCAAGCTAGTTAATTTATACACAAAATATATAATATAAATATTACAAATATCTAATTTATAATAACTTCTCACCCATTTCTCATATTCCTACCTATATGGCTTTAAGACAATGCTATCTTTAATCAAGATATTTGATCCACCATTCTACCATAGTAAATGAAATTCTATCCTAGTATTTAATTTTCCATCATTACATTGATTTATTATAACTATTATTATTATTATTACTAATATTATTATTAATAAACTTTTATTATTATATGATTATTATATTATTATTTTTTTATTATTATTATTAAACTAATATAATTATTATTATTACAAAAGAATACATTATAACATCATAATACTATATAACACAAATATAATACTTTAATTAGCTAATAATGATTAATATAAGCATAACCAACAAATAAAATTATTATTAATAATACATGCATAATTAAATGAATAAATTTACTATTTTAACATACACAATTACTTTACATGCACAATTAAATGAACATAATATAATAATGTAGTATGCACAAATAAATAAAATTAATTAACCTAACACAAAATTAATTTAAATACATTCTTTAAAATTACGGGGTATTACACATTAACCATGAATCAAATGAGAGGTTTGTGGCGGCTGAGACGGTGGAAGGATTTTGCGGCAGCGCTACCCTGAAAGAGTTGGAGAGGTAGGGCTCAGGTAGAGCTGGCGGTGGTGGACAAGTTTTTGTTTAGGTTTCAGATATGGAGGGTTATTTTGGTCCATTAAAAGGATTTAGAAATATTAAAATGGTAATTTTATGATTTAAATCGGCTAATTCACAAGTCAACGATCAATAAGTCAATTTACTTTGTGTGGCATGTGATCGTTAACTTTATCACACCTCAGGGGATGAATTGCGCAAGATTGTTTCTAGATGTAATAAAGCCAAATCATATAGGGTGTTAATGTAAATTGGCCTAAACATTTAACCAATATGATTTTTTTTTTCAAGAATGCCATAAAAAATTACAATTTTTAATGATTTGGAATGCATGAAGTTTACAAGAAAAGAAAGGACAATATTGTAAATTTCTTTTAAAAAAAACCTTCCCAAGAAAATCAAACTATGCTTCATAACAAAATTTGATGAGAAGTTGGATGGTTATGAAAAATTAATTTTTCTCAAAATTTTACAACAACAATTATTTAGTAAAGAGTTCAAGTCTCATTGAAAAGTGAGTTAGTACTTGTTAATTAAAAAAAAAAAAATCAAAGTGTTCAAAAGTATTTATATATATTTTTTCCTATTTGTTATATTTATTTAATCAAAAGTAACTTTTAAAAGTGTATCTGCCTAGGAGACTGCACGTGAGAAGAACCACAACTCACTACAACTCAAGTTATGATCAAAACAAATACCATTGTTTCATGAACAAACTAGACTGAGCAGTCAAATACTCATTTATTTAATTTTTTCAACTGTTAAATACTGAATTCGGCTCGATTGATTGCAGGCCAATGTTTAAGAAATAAAAAAATTGTAATATAATTTTTCGTCACAATCGTAAGCCAATGGTGTTGGTCTTTCATTTAGCCCAAACCAACTAGTGGCCCAACACACTCTTGGACCAGATCCTGTCATGGAAGAACGTCCCAATCTTGCTCCGCTGTCCGCATAATTGAATCTTTAAAGGCAGGTTACCAAGGGGGGTTGGTTTTGCCTTTCGGGCCTCGTCTCTTGTTGTAAAAGTATATATGAATTGAGTGTGAACACTATTTAAAAATTTAATTTTTTAGTTTGTTTCAGTTTGATCTAATTTTTGAATATAACGAAGCACCACGCCAAGCGTCTAGTTAGAGGTATTCAGGTTTATCAAAGTCTCGGGTTGGTAGGATGGTCCGACCATAACGAAGATATTATAAATTTAAGTAAAAAAAATAATTAAATATATATAGATTGAATGTTAACATCATCTAATAGCTTTACGAAATAACTGACTAATTATATTTTGATCATTCACACTACTTAGTGATCACGACAGATGTATTACTGGTCCGGGTCCACTCATGAATCACCAAATTCAAATCTATTTTGATCTCTTAAGGAACAATTGACACTCTTTTTATTATTCTGATTGGACTTATTAGAAATTGTTTTTAACCCAACTTTAACTCAAATTGAACTCAGAAAGGGGTGTGCTATCCATTCTGGGATAGAATTTTAATAAAGAAAATTTGCTCGGGTTGGCTAAGGATTTTATTCTCGACCCGCTTCACCCGTCCGGACCCAAGTGCTTTTTTATTTTTTATTTTTATTTTTATTTCTTTCTGTTGAAAATTAAGAAAAAAAATAAATAAATTAATGCTCCACTTTTGCGCGCGTGAGAGAGAGAGAGAGAGAGAGAGAGAGGGATGTGCTATTTGATAAAACGACGACCCAACTCGTTCTTCAAATCGAAAAGCAAAATTCAGTCTCTGGCCTTGGCTTCTGCAAACTTGTATCCTGTTACTTGGATTTTCTTTCTTCTCTTTTCTCTGTTTTTGTTTCCTCTTTTTGTCTCTTGTGGTTTGATTGTTGTTGCAGGTAGAGGAAAGATCATCAAACCCCGCCCAATGGGTACCAAGAATTCTTCTTCCAAAAGAAAATCTTCCAAAAGAAAAACCTCCAAGACCCCCTCTGAGGTATCTCTCTTTGTACTCTCTCCTTCTCTCTCTCTCTCTCTCTCTCTCTCTCTCTCTCTATATATATATATATATATATATATATATGTCGTAATTCTTAATTTGTTCTAGGGTTCTATTTCCCCCTTTCATTCGCTGGTTCTAAGGTCTAATTTATTGAATCTGCACTCGGATACTGTTGCGGATTAAGTTGCCTTACCCAATTATTAATTGATACATGAATCTGTTACCGAGCAATCACAGGAAAACAAAAGAAAATTTTGAAATACATGTTTAGTCGAACTAAGTCACAATTATTTAATTTCATATTTTTGTTCTATGGGTATCCCAGATTATTGAAACCTTCCTATTCAGAAATCTAGGACCTGCTTGGTTTATCTTTTTGGGAACAGTTTTAAGAGCACTTGAAAACAGAATAAAGTTCAAAAATAATATTCATTTGGTTGCCGGTTTATCTGAAAAACTATCTGTAAAATTGAGTTAAAGAATGTATGCTATAGACAACTTTCTTTTCTAGTTCTCTTAAAATGGTTCGCTGTTTTTGAAGTCTTGAAAACTGTTATCAAAGAACTAAATCAAAATAGGCAGTTAAAGTCCTTAATTTTCTTAATTTTTTGTAAGTGGCTAAATGGGGGCTTTAGGATCTTTGAGATGAATTAGTCTAAATTTCGGTTTCCTTTTTTTGAAACCTCAATTGTATTTTTATCTGCATGTATATTTATATATTTGTGACGTTAGGCTCGGCAGAGGAAGAAAAGTAGGAGAACTAAATCCAAGAAGCTATATCGTCGCGATGATTCTGTTTCTTCTTATTCTGACGATGATTCTAGAAGTTCAATGTCCATTTCATCTTCTAGTTCTCATGATCATCGTAGAAGGGCTCGTTCTCGTATGCGAAGTGATGCAAAGGGTAGTAGGAAAAGAACTCGAAGCTCTCCGAGCCATGATATTAGCGAATACTCACGTCATGTAAAGAAAAGGAAAGGGTCAAGGAAGAGCAGGTATTCTGAGGTGAGGAAAAAAACTGGAAAGAAGAAGCGTAGGAGAGATGCTAGTATTAGTCCTATAAACAGTGATACCCATAGCTGCTCAACTTGTAAAGGTGGGAGTAGCAATAGTAGTGGAGAGGATGAGATTGTGAGGCCTAGAGGCAGATCTAGGGAAAGCAAGAAAGATAAGAGAGATTTGAGCAAACCTAGTGGAACTAAAAAGAAAAAAAATAGGTCTCAGAGTTCTTCACATAGTAGGTCTAGCGACAGTAGTGATTATACCATCAAGGAGAAATTGGCAGCCGGGAATGACTTGAGGCGTTTGAGATCAGTTGTTATTGTTACTAAACAACCACAGGACGATGAGGAAAAAAATTGGGATAAGAGTGGCCATAAAGAAGAGGTGGTATATGATCATGATGATTACCCCTCTTGCAGAAGCAATGACAGTGATGATGGGGGAAGTAAGAGGGACTTGTCTCATCATGTCCCTGGCGCATCTGAAAAGAGGAATTTAGAATATGTGAAAGGAGAAGATGCACTAATTTCTAATGCTAATACAATTGAACTTACAGAAAGTGGCAAGGACAGTGGGGGCCAGTATGATGGTAGTAGTTCTCGCTCAGATGGGGTTGGGGCAAATAATTCCACTAAGGGAAATAAGAGAGAGGTTTCTGCTGTTGCCTCTAGTTCAAATGGTGATGATTTGGAGACAATCTTGAGGCAAAAGGCTTTGGAAAATTTAACTAAGTTCCGAAAAGGGCTTCACACACATGTCAGGACTCTTCCTGATCAGAAAACTAGGAGTGACAGTGATGTGAAGCAACCATCCAGTGCAAAAGCAGAGTTTGTTCAAATCAAATCACCCAAGTGGGTTGATCTTAGAGTGGTAGGTGCACCTCAGGTAGTCGCTCAGAGCACTAGGCCTATGACAGGGATAGAGCCCTCTTGTCCTACAATGACTGATGGGAAGATTTCGGGGGGAAAATACAGTGGAACTGAACCTGGAACTGCTAAATGCTCTGCTGTTTGTCCTCCATATCGGGCTACTATCTCTGGTAATCCTGAAGAAAAGGACCTTTCTTGCGCTGATGCTGTTTTTAATAAATCTGAACCGGGTAGATCTGCATTGAGGCAGGAATTATCAGGCACTTGCTCCACCATAAAGCAAGCACCCACGTCACAGGCATTTCCCAAGTTAGTGACAGATAGTGGTGTAAATAAGCGTGCAGTTGAAGCATCTCAAACTGTTCGCAAGACTAATGGTACTGAAGTTAGTAATGCTCCTGACGGTTATTCTTGCCTTAAACCCACTTTGGAAGAACCTAGCTCAAAAGAACGACAAAATGAAGTTAAGGACAGTTCAGAGTTTGAGAAGAAGACAATGTCGGTCATGCGGGGTGGTGAAATGGTGCAGGTGAGAGTTTTTATCTAATGTAGATCATACACGTTACTCTCAGAGCCCTAAAGCCATGAATCTTGAATCTAATAGCTTGTTCCAAATTTGCGAGTTCTTTTTTCTGGTAAATAATTTGCTAGGTTTGATATCAGTCTTATTGGCATTTTTGACCAGGTGAGCTACAAGGTTTACATCCCTAAGAAAGCCCCAGCTCTGGCCAGAAGGCAGCTTCGGCGAACTGGCTCTGATGTCTGATTCATGCATCTGTGCGGTACGAGAATACCTATTAGAAGCAATAATTAATTTTCTTGCCACATTGATAGAACAAAGGGATAGGAGACATGAAGAAATGATTAGTAATGCCTTCTCCTTCAGTGTGTGAACGCTTGACGAAGGGGAATTTTTCTGGCAAGTAATGGGGATTGTATGTGAGAGAGAAATTATTGCAATGCTTATGCAATTATCTTGGAGTAATATTTTTCTGTTCTGTTTTTGCTTGTTAATTTGTTTGTTTTTTTTTTTTTGACAAAAAATTTGAAATAAATGCAACATTTTTTTGGGCAAGTAGAATGCAATATTTTGTTGTTAGTTTTTTTGCTATGAACAATATGCATGGTTCACCAGAGTTCCAAAACGGACAAATTTAATGCATCTACTTTTCTTTCTTAATGTGAGTCTGCTTACTCATTTCTCTTACAGCTTCATCTATATCCTGTTGCACGCACTCCTTCAAATTTCTCTACCGAAACCTAATTGTTTTCTGCTATAATGTTTTTAGCATATTGTTTTGGGTTGTAGCATACTCCTCACGTCTTCCTTTTGTTCTTTCATGGCTGGCGGGGACACCATCATTTTAGGTCGTAATAAGATGTATGGAGTAGCCTTCACCGGCCCGTCTCTCATCTCTTTTCTGAAGTTCCGAATGCTTTAATGTCTTATCCCAGGAATTGTTAGTCACTATTCATTTTAGTCCTTTGTAGTGTCTTGAATTCAATTCCAACATTCTTACACATATTACAGCTCATAAAATTGTGAAATATTTTATTATAATGGAGAAAGCATGTGTAAAGACCTTAGTTTGGGTCTGAAAGCATTCACTCTGCAAAATAGTGAGAGATTCAAGTTTCTATCAAAAGTCTCTCCTGAAGAGGCGCTTCTGCTAATCAACGTTAGCCTCTGGTTCTTTCCAAATGAGGAAGATCCGGTTTGGTGGTTCAAAAAAATTAGTAAATACTGTAAAAAGAATGTTGGCAAATATTTTTAGCTGAGTTTTCAATTTAACTATCTGCTAAATGGATTTTTGTGTTCGGTAGTTTTTGTTATATGAGAACTGAAATTTTTAATCAAAACTTCTGGGCTCGGGCTAAAATGGTCGAGTGAACTGAAGCCATAGTCTGCAAACATGGTCTCGAACTCTTCCGGATCAAATTCTTGGTTACTTTGAATGCGAAGCAGTTACTGGAGTTTATAAAATACGAAGCAATATATTTATGTATGGAGAGAAGTCCTTCAGAAATTATAGTAATCCTCCATCCCGCTCTTACACCAGTCCATAGACATCCTACATCTGTTTTAAAGAAATTGTCCAAAATCCAGATAATTAACGAAGTTAGATAATATTTCACTGGGTTTTTATACTTGGGGAAGAAAATTTTAACCCCTGCAACCAGTGACTGCAATGGTCTTACGCATGTTTCTTAACATCTGTATAATAATTCAGAAAAACCTGAACGACGAAGGGTAAGATTACATCCAATACGACCAAAATGGAAGCCAGGCTCCAGCTTCTAAATTATGGGTTGATGTAAGTTGAGAAGTTTTAGTTTTCTGGTATTTTGCTCTCACGTATCATATGAAGCAAAAAACTCAAAAAAGGGAAGCAGAAGTTGGGAAAGCTCAAAGATCCTCTTTATGTGGTATACTTTCTCATTAGGTTTGCAGAAACATGCAATGAAACACAGCAGAAAATAAATAAGAGAATTATTAATTACTAATTTTAGTTATTAATATTACAATGACACTAATAATAACAACCTTATTATACATCAATGATCAAGCTACAAATGAAAATTAAATAATGATAATAAAATTTCTTGTGCTGAGACAAGGAAAAAAAAAAAAAAAAAACCATAATTTCTTTATAATATGTACATCAAATAATATATATATATATATATAAACAATAAATAACCAGAAACACAATAAAACGCACGCACAAATATTGTTCCGACCTTTCAACTTGGGTTCAGATCTCGTGAAACTTGGCCTTGCCATCTGCAGCGCAAAGTGAATAGTTCATGCACAAAGCATATTTCAATCTAATAATAACTAAGGAGAGAGACTTGCATTTGAGCCTCAATATATTCATGAATATTAAAAAATTACTTAAATTGTTTCAAAAATTTCTATTTAAGATTTTTATTTAAATAATTAATTTAAAAAATTAAAGGCAAACTTATGCAAATTTAATGGAGAATATTTCATCAAATTAGTATGAATTTTTTTCATAATTTATTTTAACAAAAAAATATATATCAAGTGTAATTCAATAAGAAAGTGTATTATGATCATTTAATGAAAAATAGGTAAGACAATGGGGCATGTTGCAACTAAATGGGATAGTTTAGGGGATTTTATGCACAAAACATAGTTCAGGAGGATTATTTGCAAATTTAGACATAGTTGAGGGGGGATTTTTTGCACTTTACCCAAAAAATTATCAATGCCAAAAGAACTAAGGATTGAGTGTCATTTAATCATTTTGTTTATGAAGATGTTTTCTGACTTCTTTTCACACACAAGTCTAGGAATCAAAATTAGTTCTCAGATGCACAGTTTTCATGTCTAGGAAAGCTTTCACTTCACATACCTTGAGAGCAAGAACCTCGCAAGTGGGCTTAAATTGGCATTTGAATTAATTTCTTTGTTCTGTTGCCTTTTCCGGTTTTCGACTTCCGCGTTTGCATTCACTGCTTGTTCAGGGGCTGTCTTTACTTTTGTGAAGGTGCGAGCTGCCAGCTCCTGCAGATCTTTCAACGAAGGCTCATTTGAACTGCACGGATTTTCTTATAATTTTAGTAAACATATGCTATACAACAAGAAGAAGTGATGAATCTTAACATGGCAAACATGAGAATATGAACTAAAGAACCTTCCCAGCTGCTGGAGCAATCTGGTGACAAAAACTTCACAAGAACCGGGCTTCATGTGCTCCATATCCATGAATGAATTTGCCACTGGACGCACAACCATCCCTTCTACATCATCAGCAAAAACAGCCTACATTATATACGCCAACAGATAACAAGAGGTTAGATATTGCATCTGGTCCACATTTGAAGCAGCTTCATATGACACTAAGACTTCCAACATGTAGAAATCACTGGCTTGGTGTATGGGATCACCGCAATACTTTAGTCAAAGAGAGCAACAATGTAGAAGTCCTCATAAAATATAATTTTGATCCCCGAGTTGGATATTGGTATTTTCTCAAAAAGACAGCTATTTAATCTCAAATAATAAAACGAAAGCACCAAAATCAAACAATGCAACTAACTTTTCCCAATTGGTGCATTTCTTATTGGATAATGATTTTTAATCTGTAGTACTTATTACAAATAGCTTATGCAGGGCTAAGATTTTTATAGTGGCTATATTATATATGGTAGAGCATCTGACTGCATAGTGACTATTATATATAGATGGGCTTAAAAAAACAAAAAGAAATTTTGCTGCTGCAACATCAAGCTCAACAAATAGAACTGTTACATGAAAGAAGTTCATCAGCAATTTGTGTTTATCCAAATGTCCTCCATTCATATTTACTTCCTTGAAGAAAAACTATTATAACGCTATTACTACAATGCTATTTTGGTATTTAGGACATTTTAAACAATCACAACAAACCATTAAGGTGCTAGGTTCGATTTTGAACGAAAATGTTCAAAGTCACTAAAAATCCTAACTGATTAAAATATGCTAGGTTCAATTTTGAACGAAATGATTCAAAGAAGCTAGAAATCACCATTCAGGAAAAAAAAAAAAAAGAAACTAGAAATTACAAGGGATCTTATCGACCAAGGCTAAAGCTTTTCAGTTCGGCTCTCAAATGTTCACTTATCCACCAGCCACAGTATCTCCGAAGATATAAAGAGCCTACAAGACCTGATGGAATCCTCTTCACAAACCTGCTCACCCACAACACAAAATCCTCAAATTTCTAATCATTTTCACCAATTTCATAAGCAAGAAAATGGCTTCAATATTTCAATCTCCTGGACTAGAATCTAAACTAATTTTCTATGACTTGCGTTTCCCTATTTTCTCCCCTCGTAGTTTGAAGTTTCATCCTGTGACTTAGAAGTTTGATTCCCCAGAAAATTTGCAGCAGCTTTAGTATAGATTTATTTAGTACGCTTATGGATATGCATCCCATGTCTCATTGGACATGTACCTGGAAAGCATGTTCCGTAATTCATGTGTACTATTGTGCTCCTATATATACATAAATATATACTCCCACCGTCCCAAAATAGGCGTCCACTTTGGGAACTACATACTCCCTCCGTCCCAAAATAGGCGTCCGCTTTGGGAACTGTAGTTCCCAAAGCGGACGCCTATTTTGGGAGTACATAATTGCTTAAAAATGAGTCAACTTCTCAAGTTGAACACTATTTTAGATTTTAAAAAATAACATTTCAGTCCACAAAATAAAAGAAGAATACTTGGAAGTTAATATTAGTTGTGTCCTCCTGTCCTTGGGTATGGGGATTTTATAAGTCTGGTACACACATCCACACCAGCCATATCCTGCATCGTGTAACAAAAGTATCAACTCTTCATGCTTTTCCTGTTGGTATCATTCTCAATGTATCTCTAATCTAATCACCCAAGTTCTAGGGGAAAACAAAAGATCCTTTATCTCCACAAAGAACACCTGGTTGGAATGGTTTCCCGTTAGCCAAAAAAAAAAAAAACCAGATAGAGAACGTTATATGCTTTAGATGTAAGATTAATACTTTACCTATCAGCATATTTCAATCTTTCAAACCTTTCTAACGTCAAGTCTATTACCAAGCCTGGTAACAGGAGTGCAGGACCTCCCTGCAAATAGTTATTTGAGCTTTCATCATTCCATCCCAAGAATCGCCCCTTCTGCTCTTCTTTAAAAATTAGACATATTAATCCATAGAGCATTATATATCGTATTTTTGATAAGTAAATTGTATAAAATCACTCAGAAGGGTAGCGGAACCCAAAAGAAATACACAAGCCCACAAAGGGCCACTAAGCCTTCAGAGAGGCCAGAAAATCGACAATCTCCTCTAAAGATCTATGATCTCTTCCTGAAACCCAACAAAAAAGAATGGAAATAATAGAGAACTTGAGCATAGAAATCGACATCTCCTTCCCATCAAAATATCTCCTATTCCATAGTACCAATTTCTGTCTTTTAGGATTCACCACCTATTGTTCAGACTCCTAAATATTTACTATACGTCTTCGACGCATCCTAACAGACCATTTGTTACAACTTCGTATGTTATAAAATAAAATCCTTGTATGTTATAAAATTTACATTATAGTCCTTATTTATGTTAGTCACTTTGAAGGCATTTGAGAATATCAAGCCATCTCAATAATCATTTTTCTTCAATAAGTCCATCTCAATAATCTTTTGTCAAACTAAAGTATAGATTGATGAGAACGATTTTCATTTGGTAGGAATCTCAATCAATTAGGGGTGCACATTTGAACCGCCAATACTATCCCATCCGCGTAGTTCGGTTCCATTTTGTATGTATCTTGGTTCGGTCCTGGTGCTCAAAATAGCAGAACCGTAATGAATAGTTCGGTTCATGGATTTGGATAAGAATAAAACAAATCTGAACTGAACTGAACCAGCCATATTATATCATAATTATATGTATATATATACATCTCATATATGCCTTAAAAAGCATGCCGTAAACCTAAATACCCAATTACCCAGCGACGATAAAGTCTCCATCACTGATTCAGCTGACCATCCACCTACCCAATGCACCCACTGCTTCCTCCTTACAGTACCGTCCAGTCATAAACCACCATCCTTGAAACAAAAATGACACCTACCTTCTCTCTCTCTCTATCTTTAAGGTCGAAATTTTGTTGGATCTGTTTGTACATTGGGTCTTTAGGATTCAGATCTGCATAATATTTTGTCTTTTGAGTTTTATTATTATTTTTTTGCTAGAAAATGGTTCTTGGAGATATTAGTTCTTGAATTTGCTGAAATTTCGTTCTTTCATAAAGGCCCAAACTGCTAAACCAAACCAATCCGATTCGTTCTCCTAAAGTTTGGTTTAGATGGTGTGATTGGGTTCCAAGTAATTGGAACCATAGAGAGCAGATTGGTTTCAATTTGTCCTAAAACCGGTGCGACTCGAATTGCATGCACCCCTCTTCAATTTCCCAATATTCAGCTCCAAACAATGAGCAATGCTAGAGTACCTCCATCACAAAAATGATCTCGCTCACCTCTTTTAAGCAAGGGATGAGCAAAATTGATAATGGAGCAGATGACGTTGCTGCAGAAATTCTTGCACTGTCTACTTCATCACTTGCATAACGTGATCTCCAAAATGCCTTTTGTGCATCAAAGTAATCACCAGAATGTCTGAAGTAGGAGAAAACAGGAGAGCAGGGGATGCACAAGTGGTTAAAATACTAAAACTTTCAGTTCAAATTGGTAAAAATCAGACATTGATCATACCACTCCGAAACAAAAAACTAGAAGTCAGTCAACTATCAGATGTACCTTGAAGAATCAGAGCTATTTGTTAATTGCTCTGTTTTTCTACTTTCTTGCCCGTCTTTATTAATCTTGCCCAATGCAGACCTTTCGCGAGCATTTCCTTTCCTCAATCCTCCTTGAATAGCAGCCTTTGCCTGAATAAAGTACCATTCAAACGAAACCTTTTAGTGCAAAACATCATGTTGATACTTGATACAAATAAAATTGGATAAATCTTTAATGCTCAGAATAATTTAAAACTTCTGGAAAAAGACCAGGATGATGACGAAGAAAAAATCAGGAACCAACTAAAAAACATACTAACAAACTAAAGCAAACAAGAATTTCTGATGTAAATCAAGGGGACATGAAAAAACAAAACACTTAGATCTATGTCATTTTATTGTCTTTTCCTTACACAACTAGTTGCAAGCCACACACACAAAAGAAAAAGAACAGACAGCATAATTTTTTTGTCACGCCATCATGAACCCTAAACATATTTGAGTAACTGCTGGTGCATATTATATCCCTACACAGAATGGAATGGAAAAACAGAATTTATGTAACCGATCCAAATAGTTAGGGCGAGGTATCATAGAGATAAGACATATAATGAAGTTAAGATGTAAATTTTTGGAAGAGAAAGTAGCATCTTGAAGAATAAGTCAGGATTTCTAAAAATAACTCAGGACATATTTCTAATTTCTGTGACAAGTCACAAATGTCAATGCGTATTCAATAAATCCAGTTGATTACATAACAAAAAATTGATTTACAATTTTCATTTTATGAAACGTGTTCTAGCAAGCTAAATGGTACACATTTACGGAAGAAAAAAAAAAAAAAAAGAATCTAATTGGGACAAATTGAAAACTAATTTAAAGAACAAACAACCTCTGCAAGGTTTACTGCACTGTCCTCGAGTGATGCACTTGAAGTTCTTTCCTGGATCCCCAGTCTGGACTTTGGAGTTCGAGGAGAATCCGAATCATCATGTTGTCCGCGGTATACAACAGTGCCACTGGTGGAAGCATCTTCAAAAGAAGCATATGTGCTGCTAGACTAATTGGCAAATTGAATCCTACTTAAGTCAATGGAAAGAACAGAACTAGGAGATACAAACTTTATCTACGAATTGATTTCATCATTTCAGACAGAAAACAATCATACCTGAGCACTTTGATCACTTAATAGAGATGATGATTGGACTCGTTGTGACCGAACCACAACAGTTCCCGTCCCACTCAATGACAATTCTTCCTGTAAAAGTGGGTATATCAAACAACCTCAGGAGATATGCGGATGGGGTTTCATATATATTTCTGTTCCAGAACATTACAGATTATCTGAGAGTCAACAGCCAGTGGCCTAGCGGTATTAGCCTCTTACTTTCCAAAAGGAGGTCAAGGGTTTAAGTCTCAAAAGAGACAATTGTGTGTGAGTACCAACTAGGAAAAAAAAATTTTATGCAAGGATATTTTATCTCAACTTTATTTAGCTCAGTAAATTTGTGGGTGAATTTGATCTGGTGTGTCAGTCTACTTAGCAGCACTGTGGAATAAAAATTGTAGAAAGTGCTGTTAGTTTTTTTTATTTATTTCCATCATGAAATTGTATCATATTTATGGACTATTATGTGGGACAGGAATTGGGTTAAACATTATTCAGCAAACATTCAGGACATGTTTTTGACACCCCTTGATTGTGACACACGCCACAAACCAGCTGGTCCGAGCGTCAAAAGCTTTGATGAGGGAATTAAATGCCCAGGCCAACAACTGTATTGCCCAATTGTACTATTTTTGGCACAGCAGACAATCATGTAAGAAATGTTTCTTTATACCCGAGTCATATGATCGGGGAGGCAGGATATAATTATCCTCAAGGAAAATATTACAGAGTATTATTTTTCATTCGTTTTATAGGATCTCACTCTCTCGCGCACACACACACACGACACTCTTTTTTTTTTTTTTTTAGAGAGAGAAAAAAAAAAAAAAAAAAAAAAAAAAGATAAAAAAAAAATCACCTTTTTTAGCAAACTCCCTCTGTCCCAAAATAGGTGGGGGAACTGTGACTCATAGTTCCCAAAGTACCCAACAAATTGGGACGGAGGGAGTATTAAATTTTAGGTCCCAGTTCAGAGAGAGAGAGAGTGAATCTTACATCTTCATGGTAGTAATCTTGTTTTTCATCATCGTATTGATCTCTAGCATCTTTTGCAAGGGAAACTTCTGATGAATCATAAGACACACTTCCAGAAGAAGACAACCATCGGTTACCACCATCTGGAATCTTTCTTGTACCCTGATTGTATGGAACCTCTGGTTTTCTATCTCTGGCTTGAGGTGGTCTTACAACACTCCTTACTGTTCCAGTAGTAGAAGATCCACCAATACTGAAGTCCCATCCAGCATTTTTCAAGGTCTTTCCCTGACTACAGTATCCTAGTACCAGTCAAGCAACATTCAATTACATGACAAAAATACACAAGAAATTAATTCAACCCACCTGGATCGGACAGTTTCTTCACCTCTCGAGTCTCTTGTAACCTTCACAGTGCCAGATGCCTCCCCAAAGGCTTCAGGACCATTTCTAAGAGATTCTGCATCCTCTTTTATCTGGAACTTAGGCCGCTCTCTGTCAAGACAACAAAAGGCATGATTAAAGAATAAAATGAGTATACTGACACCTCCAATATCATCGTCCAATATTTTGACATTTATGTCAGAAAACAATTCAAGTACTTAAATATCTCAAAATTTATTTCAAAATCAATACTAAGATCAATATTTCCATTAATATCACAACCCTTTTGGAATCTAGGATTGCTATCAGAATTTATTAAGCTGGAACACATGAGGATTAACACGGAAATTTCTGAAAGAATAAGAGACAACAAGGACACAGCATCTGCAAACATATTTGTATAGAAATATATAAAACTTAAAAATAATATTTATGAATTTTGTATAGAAATTAAAAGTATCTATCATGATGTATGCATATATTATTATGGCAAATAGTTTCTTTGTTGCGATTTTTTATCAACTACGTGAAGTCTCTAACTTACAATATTGAAATTCACATGAAAGAACCGAGTTAAATTACATGGACACGGAGTTGAGACAAATTCAACAAGACCTAACTTCATCGTATCTCAATTCTCTTTTCAATTTTTTTTTTTTTTTTTTTTTTTTTTTATGGTTTTCATAACAACTACACTGTCAACACTATGCCAGAAACACTGCATTTAAATGTGAAAACATGTCAAATATTTGCCTCAGAGCAACCAATAAGTATCAGATGAATTGAAAATCGACAAGATTATGTTCAAATTACAGATACATTTATTATTTATTTTTATATTTAAAATTACAGATACAGTTATGAAGCAACAGACATGTGTCTTAATTGTCCCAGGAGGACAGGAGTTCTTGTATCTGATAAGGGTACAATACTGATATAATTCCCTTGTACATATAACTGACAGACCAAAAGTAATATTTTCTTCTATGCAATGTCCTACTTTGGCACTTTTACAAAGCTAACACACTGGCAAGTATGTGAGTCAGAAATCATTTTACGAAATAAATCAGTTCAGTTTGTTTCAGCTAGACACTAAACAAACATCCATGTTAGACATGAACCTGTATCAACATACTTATAACGCAGATGTTAACTGTAGGGGGCATCCCTTTCGGTAAATCCAGAGCCTCATCTGACAAGATTGGGACAGGCTACTTTCCAAAACAAAATAATGATTTTAAACAGACAAAATGCCTAAATCTTCCATTCATCCTCATAAGAACAATATAACAAGCGCCTATTCATTATCTCCTGGCTCCAACTCACCTTACCCTCCTGCTCCTTACATCCTCTTTGTTACTCTTCCTCAAAATCTCTATCTTACTCTGCGTCCATTCACACTCAGATAACCAAGTGAACCTTTGAAAATCATACTTCCTCTGTTCCATAATAAGTGTCGCCCTTTAGGATTCGAATATTAAAAGGGGACATGCATTTATGCATTGTTCCCCTTCAAAATTACAAAACTAACCAACAAATTAAAAACATTTACTTTATTGATTTAAAAAGATTCCAAAACCTAAGGACAATTTGGGAAAGTTGTAATTTGGAACATCTCAAAAAGAAAAGTGGACACTTGTTTGGGACATCCCAAAAGGAAAGTAGGACACTTATTATGGGACAGAGGGAGTAACTAAACTCATTACACCTCCAACTGGTCCTTTCTCATCCTCTAACTTCTGTTCCCACTAGGGAATTTTGTATATTTCACGGTGTCATCACATGATAAAGACTAAAAAACTGACTATAATAGACACAATTAGTGGGAAAATAAAATCATTTCAGTACAAAACTGTAGAACCACACAAGTCTAAATACAGGACTCTACATTCCTCCCATTCAAATTGGAAATCCCCATACCTCACAATCTGCCCTACTTAAACGCTGCAAGTACAAATAGTTAAATACATTTCTTAATATATGAAAATGGGAAGACAGCAATGCATTGCACCTTATTCTCTCCAAAAGTCTCGAACTCTTCCTAGCATTTCTGATAAAACGGTGCTTCAAAAGTTCTTTGGCACTTGGCCTCTGAAATCCACAAAACAAAAGAGAGAGCATAAGAAAATATCATTTTTTATTTTTGTGATGATAAAGCACAACACCAGAGATTTCAAACTTTTTTCTCATAGCATGTTTCACCTTTAAAAACTGCGGGATCAACAAAGGAAACACATATTCCACACCCCAAACTGATTCCATACAATTCTGGATCAGAGATAATTACATTTTGTTTCAGGGAATGTTGCTTGCACTCAAGATATATTGAAAATTGCAGGACTCTGTTGAGGGAGTAATATTTGCATGAATTCCCACATAAATTCCATTTCTTATGAAATAGATAAGTAACTTCAAAAGGAGTCCTGCAGTTTGTGCAATTAAAATCCCCTATAAGCAAGAAAACAACAAAGTTTTCCAAGAATTAAATGCTATAAGCGTTTAGCATATCTACCAAATGTGTAAATAGTTAATATATTCACAACTAGAGTGGCAACCATAAATGATGACCTTAAGTTGGGTGATCACCTAGTATTAGGTGCACAAAGCATGCCTAAGTCGGGTCTTTTTCGCTTTAAAGCAGCGTTAGGCTAACGAGTGGATCTAGGAAAAGCAAGTTGACTCTGTTTGGGGTGGTAGGAGATGAGTTGACCTTAGCAGAGACATAGAGTTGCAATGTTGGGTATATGACGACATCTTACTTGGAATTGCCTTTAAAATTCATGTTCCAAAGTTAAGGCGGTTTGAAACTCAGTTCCGGAAATGTTAAAAAGTAAAATAGAGTATTGGAAGAGGTAGTGGCTTTCGAGGGGGAAAGGGCAAATCCCTGCACTTATCAAGAATACTCTATCCAACCTTCACTTCCTCAGTTGTGAAGCAATGGGAAAATTTTCTTTAGAGATTTTTTAATGGGGTAGCCTTGTGATGACCATAAATATCATTTAGTGATGTGGAAGGCGCGTTCTCGTTTCAAGGTGGGGGAAGAATGGGAGGTTATTAGAGAATGGACCTGAAGAAATGGTATGTTGCACGGCGTGGATTTGTCCAAGGGATTATAAGGGCGGGAGTGAGATTTCAAAACACCAGTCTTGAAGGAATAAGGAGATTTTCGGGAATTTGGAGTGGGGGAAGTATAGGGCTCTTACTGTTATTGCTGAGATTAACAGATTGGAAGGGGTGGGTGGTATCGGTAAGGCACAACGAGATAGGAGAGCTGCTTGTCAGACGGAGATTGCTGTTATGGAGGAGATTTCGTGGCGACAGAAATCCCGGAATTTATGGCTCAAAGAGGGTGACTGTAATACGAAGTTTTTCCATAGACTTGCTAATGTCCATAGGAGGGGAAATCATATTGGGTGGATGCGAATGGACGGAGCGGTTTTTAGTAAAGAGGACTTGCATATGGGGATTGTCTCTTACTACCAAAGGCTCTATTCTGAACCTTTACGTTGGAGACCTCGGCTGGAGGGACTTCATTTCGACTCTATTTCAACAGTGGATAGGGATGGGCTATAAAGTCCCTTTTCAGAGGAGGAGGTGCTGAAGGCTCTGAAGAGTTGTAATGGGGACAAAGCTCCAGGCCAGACGGATTCACAATGAGATTTTTGTTGAAAAGTTGGGGTGTGATGAGACGTGGTGATGGGGCACTTTTTATGAGTTCCATTTGACAAGGAGATCTGAGAAGTCATTGAGTGCATCTTTCATTGCCCTCATTCCTAAGAAGGGTTGTGCATCTGACGTGAAGGACTTCAGACTGATAAGTTTGTTGGGGTGTATTTATAAACTTATCACTAAAGTCCTTGCATCGAGATTGCGAGGGGTTTCTGAGTCTCAAAATGCTTTAATTGGAGGCAGACAGATCTTGGATTCCGTTCTTATCGCCAGTGAATGTGTGAATCACAGGTTGAGTAGTGGTGTTCCTGGAGTCCTATGCAAGCTCGACATCGAGAAAGCATATGATCATGTTAGCTGGAATTTTCATTTGTATCTGTTAGGGAGGATGGGATTTGGAGAGAGATGGAGGAGATGGATCGAGGCTTGTATTTCTTTAGTGAAATTTTCTGCGTTGGTGAATGGATCTCCCTCAGGTTTTTTTGGTAGCTCTTGTGGTTTGAGGCAAGGGGATCCCCTTTCTCCTTTTTTGTTTATTATTGTGATGGAGGCTCTTAGCAAGTTGATAAGAAACGCAGTGGATCTGGGCTTTATTAGGGGCTTCAGAATGGGCCCAAAATCAGTTCAGCAGATGGAGATTTCTCATTTGCTATTCGCGGATGATACTTTGGTCTTCTGTGAAGCAAAGGTGTCCTAATTGAGATATTTGAGGTGTGTGCAGTCTTAGGTTTGAAAGTCAACGTGGGAAAGAGTGTGCTTGTCCTAGTGGGGGAGGTTCGGGAGGTGGCTTCTCTTGCTACGATTCTAGGGTGTAGGACGAGTTCCTTCCCTATTTATTATCTGGGTTTGCCTTTGGATGCCTCATCAAGGAGGGTGGGAACTTGGGATCTGATGATCGAGCGAGTGGTTTAAGAGAAGATTGGTTGGGTGGAAGAAGCAGTATCTTTCGAAGGGTGGGAAAGTTACCTTGGTGAAGAGTACGTTGTCGAGCCTTCCAACTTATTTTCTTTCGCTTTTCCAGATTCCTTCTTCTATTGCTTGTAGACTCGAGAGACTTCAAAGAAATTTCCTTTGGGGCGACTGGGGGGAGGAGTTCAAGTACCATCTTGTCCAGTGGGAGCATGTTTGCAGGCCTTTTCAGTTGGGTGGTCTTAGGTTTGGAAGGTTGGCTCCCTTTAAAAGGGCGCTTCTTGGTAAGTGGTTGTGGAAATTCGGTTGCGAAATACACCATTTGTGGAGGAGGGTCATTTCATGCCCTTTTTGGGAGGACAGAAGGGGTTGGTTCTCAGGAACAATTCGATCTGCTTTTGGTGTAGGGGCGTGGAAATCTATTCAGAAGGGCTGGGATGAGTTCTCCAAGCATATTAGATTTCGAGTTCGGGAGGGCAGAGAAGTCCGATTTTGGGAGGATGAGGATGTTTGGTGTGGTGATAGCCCGTTGTCTTGTTTGTTCCCAAGACTCTTCAGGATCACTGTTGATAGACATGTTTTGGTAGCTAACTATTATCGGCTTGATAGCGGTAGGCTTACTTAGGACGTGCACTTTCGGGGAGCTTTTCAGGATTGGGAGTTGGACGATGTTTCTGCTTTGCTGGAACTTTTATATAGACGAGAGGTGGATGGTACAGGTTTGGATTCATTGGTTTGGGTCTCCTTGGGGGAAGTTCGAGGTTCGATCCTTCTTTCTATGTCTTTCTGGGTTTCATGGATCTACTTTCCCATGGAACACGGTTTGGCGCTTGAAGACTCCTCTCAGGGTGGCTTTTTTTGTTTGGATTGCATTTTGTGGCAAGATTCTCACGCTAGACAATCTAAGAAAGAGATGACAAATCACAGTCAATTGGTTTTGTCCGTGTCAAAATGACGGAGTGTCCGTGAATCTTCTTTTTTTACATTGCCCCGTGTCTCATGAATGCTGGAGCTTTGTTTTTGGTTTGTTCGGTATCTGTTGGGTTATGCCTCGGTCTTCAAGGGAGTTGATTGATAGTTGGAGAGGCTACAGTGTGGGGGCCCACGCCCGTGAGTTTTGGAGGGCGACCCCCCTTTGTATTTGGTGGTGCAGTTGGAAAGAGCGGAATCGAATATCTTTTGATGGAGAGGAATCACCCATTGCGGTGCTGAATTTTCTATTATTAGTTCTCTTTTTAGTTGGGTGATAGGGAGAAATTGTACATCTACTGATGAAATCGTGGATTTTTTTTGGGTTCTTTGGGTCCCTAGGACTTTTTCTTTGGCTTCAGCCTTTGTATAGCTATCGGGATGCGTTCCCCTTCTGAAGGCTTCTATATACACTTTTACTTATCAAAAAAAACAAACACCAGTCTTGTGGGAAGTAAAAGGAAATTAGATTCTGGAATAATATGTGGCATGGGGACTTAGCATTAATGCAATATTTCTGGAGCTCTTCCATATTGCAGTTAATAGGGAGGTATCTGTTATTGACCATAATTTCTCTCTTACCAGCAGCATGGTGTGGAATCTCAACCTTTGTCAAGCTTTCCAGAAAAGGAGTTTTGCTAAAAGAAATGCCACGTTTGTGAAGATGAGGATGACTGAATGCAATTGACAAAGATTGCAAGCAGTTGCTGTAGACACCAATTTGTGGTCAATTTCTAAGGAATTCTTTAAAGTCACCACCTAGTTCAGTATACTAGGAAACCAAAAATTACTGGACTCCACCTTCAGGCCACAGTCATGCATTACTGAAGATCTAATATTCAGGAAATAAGTTACGATTTGGGGAGAAACATTTGCATTTTTGTTGCACTCATCCTGCCGGATTTGATGGTATTCCTGATATGTATTTATAAGTAAGAGGAAGCGATGCTGTATCGATGTTGAAAGGGATGGGATTAGAGGAGTGATGTTGCAACATTTGTTTAGGGTTTCATAGCAGATATTGCAAAGATTTGTTGGAGACAGCCAACGGCGTGCTAGAGAGGAAGAAAAGATGTTGTGTTGAAGATTGAAGGAGCGATGCTGCGAGTTTTGTTGCGGCTGCTGTGATGAATTTGGTAAGAAAATCCAACGCCTGATATATATATATATATATATATATATATATAATGATGATAGGGTAATAGGTTAAGTAGAGTTGGGCTTAAGGTGAAATAAAGTTGGTCTTAAAGTAAATGAAATTGGGCTAATGAATATGTATTTAGATTGGCTTTATATTAAATGGGCCACAAAATTGTATATTAGTGTAAAATAAAATAAAATAAAAATTAATCATTTTGCTAAACGAGCCTGTTCACGAGCCTAACGAGCTGAGCTTGAACGCTAAGCTCGGCTCGTTTACTAAACGAGCCTAAAAAATGTGTTCAAGCTCGGCTTGTTAACTCCATGAACGAGCCCGAACCGTGCTTTTAACGAGCCAAGCCCGAGCTGTTCATGAACAGCTCGGTTCATTTGCAGCCCTAGAAAGAACTTATTGTTGCATATACTCTTCCTTGACAATATGGCATTCAAAAGTGAGGAAGTAGGTATATCCTTGATTCCAAATAATGAAGAAAATAGAAACAGAAGCATCAGATGGTGAGATCTCCCTTGTTAGCACCCATTAATTAGGTGCAAAGACACAAAGGGAGGAATCCACTCCAACCACCCATGAATGGAATAGTAAAAACCCTCATATCACAAACTAACAAATGATAGAAAAATAAATAATTAAAGGTTTTATTTCAGAATAAACCCTCGGAATAACCTTTACAACTCCTTTTCTTGAAGATAAGTTGCAATGATCATCTGCATCCGCCTCCCAATCTTCAAGAAAGTAGTTGAATGGGCTGTCAACCCGTCAGAAATTAATCTCTGCCCTGTCTTTGGGCTCTTTGTTCCTGCTAATCCCCTTTATGGGATGTCTGTATGTCTAGGGGAACTCTCTATTCCAAGAGCTCCATGAAGTTGGAAATTTCTGGAAGTCGCAATCGACCAATTTTATGTTAATTTAAAGAAATTGAAGACAATTCTTATGGATTTAAATCATTGGGAGTCCAAGGTTGTTGAAGATTTAACAGCTGGAAGGACAATATGGGAAATCTATAGTGCCTTTTCTATCATATCTTTTCAAAAGGTGCTCTATGGTATCAACACACCAAATTTGTGTTGGAAAGCTACACGGAGGTCAAAGGATCCTCAAAAAGAACAAAGTAGCTTTTCGCTCGGACAGCTGCTTGGAAGCTATATTGACCAATGAGAATATTTTACACACGGCTCATGCCATTCTCAATACATGTTTTCTGTATGAAGAGATAAAGAGACAATCAACCACCTTTTGTTGCATTGTAGGATCGTGTGGGAGTTTTGGTGCCTCTTATTCACCATTTAGAGGTTGAGTGGATTTTGCTGGGTTTTGTTGAGGAATTGTACCGTTGGCAGGGTAGTTGTACTTGGAGTGGAAACTTTGGAAATTTGCTATGTTGTGCTTGATTTAACGCACTTGGAATACAAGGAATATATGGTCATTCAAGGAGACGGACTTCCATTCCATTAGTTAAAATAGTTTTTTTTTTTTTTTTGGTTTCTAAATCAATTGACATGACGGTAGATTTAAGAGTTTTTGGCTGATATGCATTTTGCTTCTTAATTATGTAGAGATACTTTTGTAGACATCATGGCACACACGTACATTATTTTAACAATAGATATACAATGATAATAGGGGCCATTCTAAGGAATATTCTTTTTCATTTTGAAGACTGAAAGCAAAGGCAGGGAGATCTAACTAAATATATCTCAACAAAATCCCATATCGACTTTAATTATCAAAAAAATTACCCCAAAAAACTTATTTTAAAAAAAATCCCGTATCAACTATTAGGTTTGCTACACAAAACTAATTAATTAAGTTGGATAATAACAACAACAACAACAACAATAATAATTCCGTTGAGAAGAAGATGAAGTTTGATTAGTCTCTCAATAATTCAAAACTCCTCAACTTCACAATAAGAGCGCCTATGAAGCACCGACACGTCAATATACAGCACCGTACCGGTGTCAAACACGTGTCCAACACGGACACTCGTGTCCAAGCTCTGGACACGTGTCCGACACGTGAAAAACGTATCCCTATTATTTTATATTATTTTTTGGATCAGACACGGCCAGGACACCTCAGGGACACGCCAGAGGACACGTCGATAAGCTTCAAAAAAAAAAAAAAAAAATTTTGAAAGAGAAAGAAGAAGATGTTATATATGTATGTATGTGTGTGTGTGTGTGTGTGTGTGTGTGTGTATCCATTCTCTATAACAATCTTGGCTCAGATCACCTGCACATCATTGGAGGACTTGAGAATGTAAAGGGCAGAGCGGATCAGACAGAGCAGATCTTGAGACATAGAGGAGAAGGAAGATAAAGGCATGCGATTGAAAAAGAAGGCGAAGAGGTAGAAGAAGGCGAAGACACAACTCTCTCTCTCTCTCTTCAATGCGGCAGAAATTGTACAGCTTTTGTAGAATGACCTAGAAGGTCTTAGATGCTTCAAGAGTTAAAAACTTAGTTTGCCCTATGGGCCGTCTCTCCGGGCCTACTATGGCCATACTTTTTGAATCATTTCTTTTGGGCCTATTGACTACTGTAATGGGCATGTATTTTCAGCCTAGGCTAAAGCCCACATAATTATCTATATTATTATATTTACTTGATTAATTTTTCAAAATTAAAAAATAAAAAATAAATAAAGAAATATGAGATGTATGGTGGGACTAATTTAAATAGGTTATATTTATGAATATAAATGAGAAATTGAGAAAAGAATAATTTATTTTATATAACAATAAATTATATTATTATTTTAATGCCGTATCCTTGCCGTGTCCGTGTCCTGTTTTTTTGAAATTTGCCGTATCGCCATATCTGTGTCGTATCGTACCCGTGTCCCGTGTCCGTGTCCGTGCTTCATAGAAGAGCGCAATAGAAGTGCGGTAAGTTGAAGATGCAAGTACGTACCTCAGCTGGCACCTTCTTCAAACACAGAGAAACAAATTCTTTCATAGGACGAGAAAAGTGCTCATCCAGCTGCACAACAAACCCCTAATGTCAGCGACTATAAGTATAAACATAATTATTAAAAATGGTAAAGAAGTATCTAACTATTCAGAATCAACCAACAAGAACAGTAAGCCAAAATGGCCTAACAGAACCCACGGGAGGTGGGGAACCAAAGAAGGAAAGTAAACCTGTGGTGGATTTTCTCGAGGTATAATGAAAAGAACTCTCATTGGGTGGAGATCTGCAAGTGGTGGTTCTCCTTTTGCCATCTCAATTGCAGTTATTCCCAGAGACCAAATATCTGCCTGCGTCAAACAAAGGACCCCAGAGCATATAAAAGTAGTTCATGGCTCAACAAGGCCAAAATAAAAGGAATCCAAAGGGGAGAGAGGTTGACAATGATGATGACAACCAAGTATAACAAACAACAAAAAATTTTAAAATTTAAGGGGGGGAAAAAAAAAAAAACTCAAGGGTACTGATCCAATAGATACCTTCTCATTGTAGCCATCCGAATTTTGAATTACCTCAGGAGCCATCCAAAATGGTGTTCCGACGAACGTCTGTCATTGTTGAATGCAATTATTCACATAGTTTTCCATCTCACCAGATATCAAAAACCAAATCAAAAAAACAGAATAAAACCGTAAAAGTTTAAAAAAATCATTCCTCAAATTCTAAAAGATGGTGTATGTAGGTGGGATAGACAAGATGCAGGGAGGGGAGGCAGAAAACATTGTTCTATATTAAACCTAAAGATCCTATTTCATTTAGAAAATCAAGTTCTGAAATGGATTTTTATTACTCATCCAGTGAAAAGGGATTTTTAACCAACGGGCCAATGGCCTAGCGGTATCAGGCCCTTACTTTCCAAAGGGAGGTCAGAAGTTCAAGCCTCAGTGGAAGCATGTGTGTGTGAGTACCAACTAAGAGAAAAAAAAGGGGGGGGGGGGGGGGGGGGGGGGGGGGGGGGGGGGCGATTTTTACACATGAATAAAATTTCAAGGACAACCAAGCTTTGTGTTGATGGAAACAATGATGCCTATACGCTATATGGCTCCTAAGAGAAAAGAAAAAAGAGTTCTTAAAACCTTTTGCACAGTAATTTAACAATAAGATTCTTGCAAGAATAAAATAGAACATAGTGATCTGTTCAAGGTGAAAAAACTACAAGGACAAGAGAAGTATATGACAAACTAGAGGTGTCATTGCTTGGAATAGTGGGAAAAGCTTGGATAGAGAAGCACTGGTTAGGGGTTTGAGTTTAAGAGCAGCCACAGTAGCAATAAAAAGGTCAAAGGTAGGTCTATCTCCAATATTTTGCACCAGCATCTTGCTAGGTGGGAGATACATAGTGTAACACACTCTTCTTTTTTCCTTAAATGCAATGATCAGCCTACCCAGCCCAAGGTTGTTCAGTCTGAAGGCTTTGGACAATAAATTAAATGATGGTAATTGAAAGAGCATCGATCAGAAAGTCATTTTAAACTTTGTCAACCGAATAACTACTAACACCAACAATTTCAAATGTCTGGCCTTCCCAAATTTGCACTTTCTTCAGTTAATGAATTAAAACCGCTTAGTAAAAGGATCAGTTTCTGGGAGGATGTTTGGTGTGGGGATCATTCTCTTGCTCTCGCTTTCCCACTGCTCTTCAGGATTGCTACGGATAGGCAGGCCATGGTGGTCAACTGTTATCATCTTGATAGCGGGAGATCGTCTTGGGATGTTTGTTTCAGGAGGCACTTTCAGGACTAGGAAATTGAGGATGCCATTGGTTTTTTGGAGTTGTATCGCCAGGAGATTATGGTTGGAGATTCTGATGGCTGGATTTGGGCCTCTGCTTCCCAGGGTCATTTCGATGTTCAGTCCTTCTTCAGGTGTCTCACGGAGGAGCCTGGAGTTCCTCTCTCATGGAAGACTGGCATTCCAAGGCTCTCCTCAAGGTGGCCTTCTTTGCTTGGACCTCTGTCTTGGGGAAGATTTTGACCCAGGATAATTTGAAAAGGAATCAGTTGGTGGTCAATTGTTGTTACACGTGCCTACGTGATGAGGAGACAATGAATCACCTTCTTTTACATTGCACCATGGCCAAGGACTGTTGGGATTTGATGCTTGGTTTGTTTGGGATTCACTGGGTTATGCCTAGATCCTCCAGAGGGTTGATTAAGGTTTGGAGAGGATTTACAGTGGGGGCACATATTCGGTATGCTTGGAGGGCTACGCCTCTGTGTGTTTGGTGGTGTATTTGGCTCAAGAGGAATAGGAGATATTTTGAAGGAGTTTCCCATTTCTATGCTTAAATTCTCTATTATTTCCACTCTTTTGTTAGGCTTCAGGGAGAAATTATAGATCTTTAGAGGACATTGTTGATTTTTTGGCCTCTTCGAAGGCTTAGAGGCCCTTTTTGGCCTCGTGTGATTCTCTTGGGCTTCGCTCCCCTTTTGAGCGCTTCTATACAATTTTACTTATAAAAAAAATATATATATGAATTAAAACTGTTTAAAGTAAAATCATGCAAGAGCACATTACACGGGAGAGAGAACTACTAAGCAAAAGGCTTAAATCTACACGTGAGCAGAACGGGTCACAAAAGGAAGATCCTTATAAGTCTAACTTGGAAATAACAACATATGCAAAAAGAATAAACCAAAAAGTTATCCATGCTTTGATATATTATAAAAGCAAAGAGATAATAGCAGTACCTTTCTTCTGGAAATTGTCTTTGTTAATTGTGCAGATACGCCAAAGTCTGCAACCTATTACAAGGTCAAAAGCATGAACTTTGAGCAAACTAGAAATTGGTGCATCTCATTCCATCCACAATATTCACAACATTCTTCCAATTATTCAGGCTCAGCACAACAACTAATCATGACGGTAATTGGTTTATCTGAGCATAAGAAGTGTACCTTAACATCACCATTCTCTGTCAACAAAATGTTTGCGGCTGCCAAAATTAAAATATAAGGGTTGTCATAACAACAATACATGTAGAAGATGAAATGCAGACTTCATCTAAAGATACACTAATGATAGCTATAAATGAGAAAGTGAATTGATTTTTCAAGTACATCTTATCAAATATGGTCTTCTTTAACGTCGGTGGAAATTTCTTGGTAATACTATAATAATAATAGGGGGGAAACCTTTAATATCTCTGTGAATTTTCCCTTCATTGTGGAGATATTCAATTGCATGGAGCAAGTCACGTAAGATGCAAATTATAGACATTTCATCCAGTGGTTGACCTGCTTGAATCTGCATAAAAAAAAATCTTTATCAGGGTCCGAAATAATACTCACATAAGAGTATCATTTCCCACAAATTTATGATTACATGTAAGTGTATTGAAGAAACAAGCATACAAAATAAAAAAATACATAAATATAAATATTAAAGGGGAAAAAAATCAACTCATTTTCTCAACTACTTCAGAAATTTGCTATGCCAAGATGATATCAACAAGTGCGCCAAAGAAGTCTGCAAGTTACACCAGCTGTTTAGGGACTAGATATACCTAAAGACAACACTAATCTTTGTTCTTTAACTCCTCCTAATGTGCTATACTGGAAAATTAATACGCCAACAGTATACATGACTAGTTTCAATTGCAAAATGCCGCATTTATTCAGAAGCTGAATAGGAGGAATGGATGAAAGTAAAAAAAAAAGAGGTTACTGGATATTCTGCTCAAAGTTGTAAATGTTAATAAAAGATAATCAGAAATAAATAGCTGCTGGAAAAGGTGCAGCATCTCGCCATACACTTTCCCCTGTTTATCTTCAAAATCTATTACTGCAGGTCAAGAGGGGGCTCAGGCTTATTGGTGAGTTTTTAGAGAAGGCAAAGATTTTGTTCAATAAATAATGACATTGAAAGCATTAAAAAGCATGTTTTATATACCACAAACTGGAAAACCCCAAATACAGTTCCCAAAATATGAAGCCACTAAACAATAATGAAGGCTGACATTACATAGCCTTATTATTTTAATACAAAAAAGTGCAACTGAAAAATACTTGGTTACAATACCAAGAAGTTGATTTATCTGTGATGTTGTGGCCCGAATTTTGTTAGTCTGGGTCGCCGTGGCCCAGTTTCGACCCGAAAATCCAGTGGCAGCGTTCCCAATAAAAAAATATTTTGACCCGTTTTCCACTTGCGGGTCTTGGATCCTGTTTAGTACTCTCTTGTAGCCCAGTATGTAAAGGCGTTTAGGGTTTGGAGTGGGTAACATGATTGATGATGGGTTCTGAGTCGCCATATACAATGAGTTCTTCAAAGCCCTTGTCAAGTGCTGCTTGAAGGCCTCTTATGCATGCCTCATTCTGCGAGAACACTGAATCGCAGGAAAGAGAGTGAGAGTTAGAGCGAGAGCTAAGTTTTGGGGGCTGAAACTTGTAATCTCCTGTTTTTCACCGGCTCTTCACCATGGAGTAGGCTTACGCCGAACCACGTAAATCTTTGTGTTCTTTGTGTGTGGCGTGCTTACTTTCAATCATGATTCTGGTTTGTCCTTGGTTCATTGCGTTTGTCTTAACATTGTCTTTTAATTTATATAAAATATAGTCTTCGCCTTATCTTTTCTTCATTTTTAATGAAACCTTTTTTTTTCCCAGTAAGTATTTTTAATGAAACCTCCAACAAGAAGTTCTGCTATTTTTCTTTTGTTTTTAAAAATGATACAAATTCAAATGGCTTTTTATGCCAGAAATGCTCTTGCTTCGAAACCCGCAATCCTGGCTTCTTAGAAACTTGCAAAACTCAGGCCCCAGATGCTTCAACATTATGTGTCATAATTTGCATCTTCATTTTGTATTTTACACACCTGGTCCCAAGCTCGAAAAAGGAGGTGGTTGCGTAATTAACTAACACCCAGCATAAAACTTTTCAATGCGTTAAAAGAAGTAGGAGGGAGAAGGGAGGAAAGGATAGCATATGCTTTGCTTTCCTCTCTATTTTCAATCCAAGCACTAACTGTTGAACCTTTATAAACATGAATCTAAGAATAGCAATATAGTATTCATACAGCCGATCCTATATAGTTGGTACAAGGCTTTAATAAGTTGAGTATGTAAGGAGTTGCATCTCGGAAAAAACAAGAAAGTATAAGCTGCCAATGCTTAAAAATAACAATTTGACTATTCATTATTCAAGTGATTATAGATTAGCTAATTACAAGATAACATATTATTTTCACACATCGTACAACCAACACTACTGTAAATGCATGCCTAAGAGTTCCAGCGGCATTAGGAAGCAATTCTTGATTAAAAATGAAATTCGAACTTAAAAAAAAAAAAAAAGCTATCATCTAATTACTTGATCAAACATAAATCGACTAATCCCTTCTGTTATTAGTTTCGGTTCAAAATGCATCTTTACAATAGTTTTTGCAAACAATTTGATCGCACTCCAATTTTTCTAAATCTTTTCTATTACAAGCCATAACTGTAGATTATATATAGACGTAAAGCTTGGTTCTTTGTGAATGTCCAAACCTTAAAACAAGCCAAGGACATCTACTTCCACACCCGTTTGCGTTGTGTTTCTATGAATTAAAATCCAAGAAGTGAAGCCTTGATGAAGCAGCTTACCATTTAAGAAATAAGTGGCCTTTGCGATTCACCATTAAAGGGTCATAGAATAAATTTAATATAAAATAAATAAAGACATTTACAACCTAATACGCTGTTATATAACTGCAGTTTTTTTGTGTAGAGTAAGCACAGCACATGGGAAGATAGTTTAATTGCACCCTATAATAAATCCCTCAATATCGAACATTTAGCCAATGAAACTATTTCAATGATGGTATCTATTGTGAAACCAGAGGAATATTCTAACAGAAAGAAACATTAGGATGCAAAATTTATACTTTATGGGCACATGTGATTTTTAATTTTTATAGCCACGCAAGTTATAGAAAATAATGGAGAAAGGGAATGGCTGACCCCGTTCTTATGAGAATAAGGCAACAAGGATGATGATGATGATGATGATGTGCTATAGATAGAAAATGGGAACATTATCTAATTCATGAAATCCTTGAAATGCAACAATTGTGAAATTCATGCAGTAAATATTCTTAAGTCAATAGAAGTAACCTACTAAATCAGCAACAGAGCCACCAGCCATGTATTCCATTATAATCCATAATTTGGTTTGATGGAGGTAGGAACCATAATACTCTGTAATGTACGGAGATCGACATTGTGACAGAACTGCAATTTCCTGGAAGAAAAATGATTTACATGAGAAACCTAATCATTTGATTGCTACAAATCAAAATCCAAAAGTTCATCAAGAATGCAGAGAAATACCTTCTGAATGTCCTCAATTTCATCCTCTCTGTCAATTAAAAAAAAAAACCAAAGCAAAGTTTAGAATTAAGTCAATATGTAAATATAGAATAACTTTTAAATAGATTACAGAATACGGAATCAGATTTCAAGGCAGAAACTTCTTAACGAACTTAGTGGTTGACTTAAATTAAAAACTCTATTCAGCAAAAGTTCCAGGATCTGAATTCTTTAAAAGGAGAAAAGCATGCAGATAGATGTCTGACAATTACAAAGTGCATTCACTTTCATCAAGGCTTCTCTGACCTCACACAATTTCCTAGAGTACATTTGGCATGCAAGAATGCTCATTAAAAATATGAGTTTCCTTGGTGCATTCAAATCACATATTTGTTGGTCCCAAAGGGCCAAAGAACCTATTCCCAAGAATGAGTCGAATGACTAATCCCACCAACAAGAGATTAGCCCTTTCTTCCCACCCCCCAAGTTATAAATTCATTATAATGGAATAGAAAAGATAAATAAATAAAAGTGGAGTTCAATCAATCTCATGACCCAACCCCACCCTGCCGACTATTCTCTTCCCTTGTTACCACTTCTCTCAGCCCACCCTCTCTCTTCCCCTCTCATAATATCATAGGCATCTCTCTCTCTCTCTCTCACACACACACACACATGTGGTGTGTGCGCCTACATCAAAGCTCTAGCACTAATTTCTTGTCAAATGTATATCAAAAGCTTAGCCCCTTTTATGTGTAAGGTTTTTTCATGCATACATATATACAAACATGTAAAATTATGTCAATCTTAGCTACTAATATCATGTTTGTATAAATGTTTGTTATAGTAAAAAATAATGCCTTCTTCAAGCCTTCTCAATTGAACTTCATTTCGCTTGGTTCATAGCATATGACTCAGTCCCATCTATTCTCATTGGATCACAGGTACATCCTACTACCCTTCTGACTGTCAATAACTTAATTTATCATTTCTTTAAGCACCAATGGGATAACATAAAAATAAAACCACCATCCTCGAAGTTGGCCTGTAAAACCAGTCACTGTTGTTTTAGTAATATCTTGACCGGAATTGCCTCTTATTTTGTGGGCTTGACCAAAAGCCATACGCTGCATTAGGTTAATGATTATGTTTTTCAGTATTCAACTACAAAATTTCCATCACCAATGCTAACATCAAATAAAATATTTTTCCTGTTCGAAGGTCGACTGGAATAGGCATTGGATAGTACACATTTGTCAGTCCATGTAACAACTTTAGTTCCTAACTATTTCCTTTGAGGCATATTTTCTTAATTTCTAGTGCTTTCTTAAATGTATAGAACTTTCTTGGTTATAATAAGCATTTTTACCAAATCAATCCAAATTAGATATCCTATCAATAATTTCCTCTAAGGACTCGTTATGCTTTTTAGGGCAAAATATGAGTATGGGAAAAAAGAACAAAAAGGAAGAGAAAAAAAGGCACATCCTAATACCCAATGTTCCTTGATAAAAATGCAAATGAAGTAGTAAATGCATAAACTAGTAGTTGGAGCACACAAGTAACATTGTAAATGAAGAGGATAGATTATCAAGAAAAATAAATATCTAAATCTATATACTCACGATTCTTCCAAATCAATAACTTTGATAGCAACTTCTTTCTTAAGCTCCTTATCAAACCTGCAAATCAAGACATGTATCAGGGCTGCAAAGACATCTCATAAATCTATATTATGATCATAATTCATTAATCAAATCCATAGACCAATAGAAAACTTATGAATTTATTTGAACCTCTAAAAAAATTAAATATTTGTAACTTAATAATATCCATTAACAGATTAATTTTTTTGAGGAACCAACTTCTTTCCATGATAAATTATGTAATATTACTATATTTTTTAGTGAAAGAAGCCTTTTGTATTATAATTGTCAGAAGAGGAAAGTACATTTGTGTATACGTATATTATATAAATTATTAGCAACATTAATTTATTAGTAATAAATAATGAGATTAATAGCTTTCTTATAACGTAGATTAGATCTAATGCATAGTTTTGTTAAGAAAAAAAAGCCCATCACCCTAGTAATTATGTATGCAAATTAAATGTTTATTCCAAAATACATACACCTATAAGAAAATCTTTTTCCTTAATAAAAATCATAAAGGAACTCAGTTTAAAATTTTATTAATTAAAATTTTTGAGCCGCCAAGATTATTAATTATTAGGTCATTTGTGTCAATTTGTAAATAAGTAATAAACACAGGACAAAGCTCCACTGTTTGAATTCTATCTGCCTATTTATTTCAGATTACATCATGATTAGTCTCAAATCGTGACGCACAAAAATTCACTGATGCATTCATGAATTTCAGTATCTGATGGGGCCTGCGGAGTTGAATGAGTCAACTCAACAATGTTGAGCAGCTAAGGATCTGCTTGGTTTGCAACTCAGAAAACAGTTCTCAAGAACTCAGAAGACAGAAAGTTGTTTTAAGAGAACTATAAAAGAAAGTTCTCAGAAAACAAAAAATTGTTTCAGAAAACTGAACCAAGTAGGCAATAAAATGCTAGTGCCAAACATTAGCTTTAAGGAGGATCATTGGCATGACAGGTAAGCTTTATAGAATATTGAATTAAATTGTAAAGTTAGTTAAATGCATTAGTTGTCTTGTTAACCAAAAGGACATAAAACATTATTTTCAGAATGCAGTTCACCCATTTAACAGGTTTGAACTCATCGCCACATTACTTCTCTAATGTGTGGGTACATGACTCCCCTGGCACATCTTACTACAATATGTGTTGCCGAGTACGCTACTTACCCAGTTACCCCTATCTCGTGGCTCATCCTGTGTACCTCGACACTAATAGCTGAGATGCAGGCAGTGTGAAAAAAGGTACACCTCAGGCCTTCTTACCTAGGCCCATCATGGTTGGTTTACTTCACTATCTTTGTTAGTTAAGAATTTCAAAACAAATAAAGTGACTGCAGGTTGACCTAATGATTTTAATATCGTACTTGAATGGCATTGGAATAATTGAAGTTCTTTATTAGCTTATCAACTTTCTTGACTTGTTGAGGTTAAGAACTGTCTTGAGGCCATATCTAGCTACTTATATATTAATCGCTAATTTTTTCATCTACATCAACTAGGGGTCAGTAGGGATGCTACTTTCTCCTCATCTTTGATGCATTATTTCTCGAGGGATAGGGTATTTTCTCTCATGCTACAAACGACCTCCAAATTTCTTATTTATGCAAGTTTGGCTGCAGAGAGACCTCACTCCCTTCCTTATCAAAAAAAAAAAAAAAAGAGAGAGAGAGAGAGACCTCACTCCCTTCTTTTGAAACACTTGCGATTTCAATTAAGGCCCAAGCTTCTAAATAGGCACTTACTAGTTACCATACTGAGGACCTCTTCTCCCCAACAAACCTTGTTGTCGATGTATACATGGCAAGGACCTATTCTCCTCATACTAGCCTTGACACAAAGACTTCTTCTCCTCAAACGGTACTTGTTGTTCTTTCATACACATGCTTCCAGACCATGGCGAGGACCTCTTTTCCTCATATAAGCCTCACTTGAAGACCAAAGACATCCTGATGCAATTCGTGCACTGCCGCGTTAAGGATATAACTCAAAAAGCTTCTATAACTTGATGTGTGGACGTTATCCACACCCTGATACACGAACATGTTCTAACCCTGCAAACAGTTATCACCATATCTCACCCCAAGGTACTCGAATATGTTAAATTCCACTCGGATTCTAGGAGATATTTGATTGAAGTCCAGATAGTTGAGGTAACCTCTTCTCAAGTTTTGCACACACCTTGACATAACTCGAAGAGAGAATGACCAGTTTATTTCAAAATGACACGTCCTAACAAAGTCAAAACCACATATAATCACCTGTATTATGCAGCTAACACCCAAGGGACCACCCCATCAACATGTGGAGATACCTTGCTGGACAGCGATAAAGATTATAGGGAAATATTTCACCTCGATGTCACCTAAAACACTGCACTAGCTACTCCTATAGCCGCAATACCACTCTTACTGTGTCCTAATTTGATAGCTTGGCACACATGAAGGCATCTCGTTAGACCATGGTAGGATGTGCCTTATGACCTAATGAGACACCACAATGACTATAGCCTTGTTCACACCAACTATAACTAGAACTTAATTTATCATCCCTTTAAAAAGGGCATGAATGTAAATAAGAAATATCCACGGGGATAAGATTCATGACTAGGCAGTTTTGTAATAAAGAGATTTCTGGCAATAAGCTCGCGCTTGTTTCAAGAGATCAATAAGAAAGATACTATAATGTAGCAGGGGAATCCCTCTACCTCATAGTTAGAAGAAAATATTGAAAAATTAGCAAAAGACTCTGAGACATTTGAGATGGCCAATTGTGCCCTAGAAACCAAGTTTAACTCTTGACAAGGTTCTAACCTCCGAAAGTCTCCATGACCTCACTGCTACTATATCTCTCTTTGGTTAGCCGACATTGATTCTCATCTAACTCAATCCACCCGGTTCTCTCCTGTTTTATGTGTAATTTCTCCAGCTCCTACTCACTTAAATAACCTACACAAAATGGTAAACAAAAGAATAAAAGAAAAAGAAACTTTAAAGACTATTAAATCCAGAATATGGGAAGCAACCCATAAGGCGCCTAAATAGGGGCGCAGCCCATGTATGCATAAGGTACTACTGCACACACGCACAAAAACACAAATAAAAAGCTTATATTCTCGGGAACTACTAAAGAATCAATCTGTATAGGTAGATTTTGGGAAGCTTCCAAAAACCAAAAGGAATAACTTTCTGAGAACTGAGAAGGAATTTAAAATATAGAAGACATTTGGTGAGTGCCAATTTCGAGAAATCATTTTACTCATCTGAAATGAGTTTAGTGAGAAAATTGCAAAAGTCCTCTTACAAGTAAAATAATTTCCAATTTACAATAGTATCCTTTACTATCAATAATTACCTTACATTATATTTGATACAAATAAATTTAAATTTAACCTTATAGAAAGTACAAGGAAGCAAAAGAAACAACCTCATTAGCACCAATTGCTCCATCCCCATGGTTTCAAGTTTATTTAGGAGACATCCACCTTTTTATTTTCTAATTTTGACAGGCACTATCACGCAAGCTAGGGCCTAGATATTAAAGTAGGAAACCTGAAGCAAACATGTTTCATTGTGTGATGGACCATAGTTGTTAAAGGCGCGCGCCTAAGCTCCAAAGAAGCCGCAGGCTCGTCAAGGCTCAGCTAGAGCGCCTCAACCTATTACGAGCCAGGTCCCTTCAATCAGGCTCACATAAAGCCCTCGGGATCACGCTTTTTAGTAGGCTCCAGGCTCAAAAAAGGCGCGGCTTGTATTTTTAATCATTTTCTAATCATTTTATTTTTTGCTTAATGACTACTAAATTAAAAGGTTCTATATCATATATCATATTGTTTAACCATATGAAATATTTGACAAAATTCATAAACTTATGGTTCACTACTTACATTAACTGCAATTACTGCTTGATTATGAATATATAATAATAATAACATATGTTATTATTATGCAATATTATATACACGCGCCTTGCTTTGATCAGGCTCACGCCTTATACTATGCCTTGCGCTTAGGCTCCAAAAGGAATTTGGCGCCTTAGTGCGCCTTGAGCCTTTAACAACTATGTGATGGACATGCAACTATAACACTTATATTGGTTCGAGTTCTATTGAGTTAGAACCTTCGACAATAAAATGGTGACAAAGTTAGTGGTTCATATAAGGTTTGAAAATGGTTTTACCCATAAATATTTTTCTAGGTAGCTCATTGATAAAATGTATAAATAACAAACGAATAATTAAGCACATATATCTTATATAACGAACACGCGAAATTATATTAAGATTCTAACTACTGACTGAAACAAAATGGCAACTCAATAAAAGATATATATGTATATATATATTATCTATTATAAAAATGTCAAATTGCATCAACATTCTAACTATATGCGTCTAACACTTTTGGTTGAACGTGCACCTAACAAACATATTCAATGATTCAATTTTAATACATTATTGCTCCAAAAAGAGTTAAATATCTATATTGAACACTATGTTACATAAAGACATTATTTTACTCAAGAAAAGAAAATTAAAAAATTCAATAATATTAATATTTAGCAGTATCCATACGTCGTTCTGTTTGGGGATTTAACACATCTATGCATACTCATACCTGACACGTGTACTAGGTCCATGTAATAGTCCCCAGAAGCCCGTTGCACAACTAAATCAAGTAATGTAGTGTGCCGCACAACTATTGGCAAGATTTGACCAACTAAACCAATAATAGTGAAATGCCAAACAATAAGGACTTCTTTTGTCCTGACCAATGACTCGCACGCTCACTTTGCCCGAACTCTCAAACTTCCATTTTGGGAGGTAGAATAGATAAAACTAGGCTACAACTTTTACAAAATAAGTCGAAAATCCATTTTATAAAATTATGCAATAACCAAGATTAAGCAACCCCACAATTCCCAATGATCTAATGATGTCATGTATCTTTGCTTCACGAAGCAAGCAATGTCGTGTATCACAAACTATACAAGGTAAATAACAGAAACTGTTTAAAAGCTTTAAATGCCCTGGTTTTCAGGATCTTCAAAATAAGCTTGTTTCTGTTAAACATTTTTTATTACCCCAAAAAACTTTCAATTCAGAAAATGACTTAAAATAATCTATATCAGATTTTATATCGAATAAGCCCATCTATAACAGTAAAGTTCACTTAATAGCATCCTGCTAAAGCAACGAGACACACAGTAACACAAACAAATTTTCCAACACTTACCCTTTATAGACATCTCCAAATGACCCTCTTCCAATTAGCTCCAAGTCACTAAATCTGGATCCTGAGGCCTCCATAAGTGCTGCCGCATCAGCCATCTCTATATACATATTCGTTTCCTCCTCACCCTCTCAGTATGGAGATCAAATATATGAATCAGATGTACACTAACAAACAAAATTCATTTCAAATATCTCAACATTCTTCAACTCCCACTTCCTCTTCAGACTTCATATAGCTTAATTCCCATATTCAGAAAATGGATTCGTCTAGTAATTCAACAATTGGCTCCAAAAAATACCTCTGAAACAACATTCACAAAATTAATATCCATCAATAAATGACCTACATAATTACACATGTCACAAGCAAAATCAAACCAAATTGAGAAATGAAAACACTAAAACATAAAATAACAGGTATGGCATAATGCGTGAAGCTCTGGCCTAACGAGACATTGAGTTCCAATATAATTACAAAATCTGTTAGGTAAAGTGGGAACGGTAAAATGAAAGCCCAGCCAATTGGGGGTTTCAATCATCACTCATTCACCTTGCAACAAAAAAATGAAAACGAAATACCAACGCCACAGTGCACTGTGGGTTTTTCATAAACAACGTTAGGGTTTTTAAATCTTGGGATAATAACTTACCTTACTGAGAATTTGTGAGGTAAAAGAATCGTTGATAATGGCGGATTTGTAGCAGTCAAGACAGAGATACCGATCCATAGTGTGTCAAGAAGCCATGGATCTCACTCTCTTCCCTCTCTTTCTCTCTCCTCTCTGGAGAGCCTCTTGCAGAGGCTTTGCTTGCTGCGTAGAAGGGATCGAGAAGAAAGATGGTTTCGGTGATGGTTCCTCCTTTGTTTCTGTAAATCATTTTTCTTGGACAAACAATTAGCACTGGACGAGGGCAGCAGAACCGGGTTATTGGGGCAACCCGATGGAATGCGGAAATTTTGTAATGCAAAATCTAATATTACATTATTATACGTACCATTTAGGAATTTCGTATATAATTTCTAAGCAATGCTACTCAAGTGAAAAATAAAAAATAAAAAAAGAGCATTATTAGTTGGTACAGTGTCTACCTTTTCGGTGGGCGTATATCCCATATTTGAGTCTTCCCTTCCACATAATATATCAAGAAAAAAAATAATAAAAATATCAACTATAAGTTATGACCAAACTATTACACGAAATATCTTTTTTTAAGTCCGAGGTGATGTCATCTTATCAATATATATTTGCCACTTTCTTTGCTTTCTTTTTCAATTTGAAAAACATTTTTCATAATTTAATATGTAGCAAACTTGCAATGTTATTTCACATTTTAGTATTTTATGGATCATATTATTTCTTTTTCATTTTTTTTCTTCTCCTTATCAACCTTTCTAATCCCAAATCAATTTATTTCATTTTTGTTTTATCTGCTGGCATCCAATGTTAGAGTTAATTTAAGTTTGAGAAAACTTTAGGGTAACCATGAGTTGGAAGTTGGAACCATCATTATTAGGATGTCAATTACTCTGTATTTTTTCAATTACAATTATGTTAACATAATGTGAACTTATTTATCATTAGTGGGTTGGCAAAAACAAACTATAAATCAACTTTAATTGAAAACAAACTGAGTGTTAGAAATCATAGAATTGTTTAACAATATGTAATTTTTTAATTAATAATGTTCAGAATTACTTACTATGAAAGATTAAGAATTAATTTTTCTTAGAGATTAAGGGTCTCGTGGTTCAGTGGTATCTCTTCTATCTCTCAAAATAAATAATGAAATAATTCGAATCTCCAAAATAGTAAAGTGAGAATGTGAGTTTGTCAATGACTAAAAAAAAAATTTCCCTTAAAACTAAGTGTGTGAATTTTTTAAAAATATATAGACAAATAAAATAACATAGGCTAACAGGATGGCTACTTAGGTCCTCAAATCTTCTCGTCTTATCATAGAAAAGAATATATAGTGTATAAAGTGTTGTATAAAACAAAGTTCTACATGGTATGGATGGAAAAAGTAATTCTCTCCTGTCTTTGGACCAAAAAGAAAGGAGAAATAAAAGAAACTCCTCACTTTTGTGAATGTATAAAAACATTATTACCAAAAACCAACAACCATCTAAAACATAAAGATAAAGGCAGTGGAAAAAACAAACAAAAGAAACAAAAATTCTAATGGTTCAATCAACAAACTCTATTATATTTTATAAAGTGTATTTAGTATATTATAGTACAACTCCTCTTAGACAATATAGGGGTCGGAGTCAGAATTTCAAGTCAAGGACACCATACAAAATAAATATATATATATATATATAAACATAATAAATATAAAATACAAAAGAAGAAGAATAAAATTATTCAAATTTGCACGTTAAAAAGAATAATTTTAAAAAGTAGAAATAGAAAAAGAAAATAAAAATGATAGAATTTTAAAAGGAAAAAGTTAAGAATTTTAATTTGAGGAATGAAAATTTAATTTTTTCTTTTTAGGGAAATTTATGAAATTTGAAGAGTAAATGAGAAAATAAAAAAATAATTTTATAAGCCACAAAATTTAGGGGGCACTGCATAGAATTTTTCATATATATAGAAAAAATATAAAATAAATAAAATAAAATACTACATATATTATAGAGGACGGGACCCCACCAGGGACCCTTCATTGGCTCCATCCCTGCTCTTATATGTAAATAATTTATTAAATTGGCTCCATCCCTGCTCTTAGATGTAAATAATTTATTAAAGGGGATGTACAAGTATTAAATATATATAAAATAAAAAAATAAAAAAATAAATTCATATGTTGATCGCTTTACTTGCTCATGTCATTAGTCTGAGTATTTTCATTTTTAAAAATAAAATCAGTATTTTATTTAATCAACATTAATATTTAGCAATCTTCTTTATATAAGCTGGTCTCTGTCTCACGAGGGTGTTCAGACAGAGTTTTTACGCGAGGGTGTTCAAACAGAGTTTTCACACTTCACCAAACGTGTGATACTCCCTAATTTCGGAACACAGGTTGATCAAATCCGCGTACAAAAGTAAGAAATATCAAAACAATTTAAGTATTTAAACTAGTACAGAGTGCAAATAGAAAATAAAAATAACAAATAACTCGCGGAAGGAAAATCTATTAAATAATAAATCCATTAATAACTCTCGAATGGTTACAGCTCGGGAATCCCGTAACTCAAGGATTCCTTAACCAAACTCCACTATCCAGAAATTAATCACTACACACTGAAGTAATAATATCCTACTTTGAAACAAAATAGAAATAACAGATAAGTCCTCCAACTGCGGATCCTCAACCTTAAGACTTGGAACTTTTAATGACCTGAAAAACAAATCGCGGGTTAAACCCTAGCAAGCTCACTCTACCAGGCCTCTAAAAACCAATAAATAAATCATCTCTCACCAAAACTAATCATATTAGAGTTTTTTTTTTATCTTTAATAAACAATGATATACATATATATAAATAATTATATGTAATACATTAATCACATCCATTAATAGGTTCATTAAATTTAAAACTATTAAACAATGATTAAATTAATAACCATTCCTAAACCAATCAATAATTTATTTTAAAAAGAAACTCTTTTAACCCTAAACCCATTATATTCAGTTATTTAATCATTTAAACAATAAAACATAATTAAAGGAATATTATATTTAATTCAATCCATAATAATAATTGTAGTTTTTTAAATCACATATTCAAAATCCAAGCTTTGACCAATAATACATGTCTCCACCAGTATTAGTTTATTTATTTATATACAATAATATACTAACCTTTAAACACAATATTATTCTAATATAAGAATATTTAACCCTAATCCAACTGATACATACAATAACTCTAAATGAAATCTTAATCATCCAACAAATAACAATTAAATTACGCTTTGGCAAATCAACCATACCCTTAAAAATATATTTATTTATATATTGACAACTTAACCACACCTCCTTAAGTATAATTATTTATATTTTGGCAATTCAACCATACTTCCATAAGTATATTTATTGACTAATTAGCAACTCATCCATGTTTTCCATGTATGTATTTTATTCATACAAATATTTAGGTAATATTTTTAATCATTTGACAATTCATCCATGCCTACACTTTAACCATGAATCACTTTAAACTTAACAATACGCTAAATCATACACAACTATCTCATGCATATTATACGCATTTCATTAATTTAATAATCAACCTATCAAGATATACCAAATGAGAATGATAATATTAATCATTTTAAATTATATATATATAAATATATACCTACACATATATTATTTAATATATATATATATATATATATATATATATATGTGTGTGTGTGTGTGTGTGCGTGTGTGTGCGCGTGTGTGTGTTTAACACCTTCCTTAATAATTCTTGATTATTTAAAATCAATATACATACATATATATATATATATATATATATATATATATATATATATATCATTCCATACAATTCATAAACGAATTAAATTATATATATACATATATAGATAATTATATATATATATACACACACATATACACTTCCTTCCATAAAAATATTATTAATTTATTATATTTACACAAATTAATGCTACTAAATATGTCAGAGATAGTTTTCCCTAAATACTTCATATCGGTTTAAATAGTTTTCCGACACCATCTCTCTAAAACGTAAATATCTTCCAGTAGGATGGGAATCTGATAATGAAATTGGTACCATTGGAAAGAGGACAAAAAATCCTTGAATTTGAGCTCAAGAATGACCCAATTTAGATTTAAGATGACTAAGTTATGACCGTTTCAATTTTATGTCACAAAGAGGCAAAATAATTGGCTGAACTTGTGAGTGCACCCACACTGGATTAGCTTACTTGAGCTCACACAAATGCACCCACACCAGATTAGCTCACTTGAGCTCACATGTATGCACCCACACCGGATCAATCTTCTGTTGATCAAACCTAATCCATGGTCCAGATTTACATGCGCACCTAGTTTCAATGCGCCAGATCAATACACCTATATCAAACTCTTTCAACAGCCTAGATCAGCGTATGTACCAAATTACTATGCACCGTCCTACACTAGATTTCAACCTAATGTTCCTAAGTTAATTTCTAAACAAATATATATATATATAAAACATTTAATAAATTCCTAAAAAATATAAAAAAAAATACCAGAAAATTCCAGAAAAATCATAGAAAATTCCAGAACATCTCAGAAAATTCCAAAAATTATAGAAACCCCAATTAACCGTCTTGGGTCATGAATCACGCACATCAATTGATTCTAAAAATAAATACAACAAATACATCTGTCAATTTGAAATCCAAAGTTTAAAATATATAAAAAAAAATAACAATTCATTCTTTTAATTTATTCGATTTAACTATGATTTAATCACTAAACTAACTTAATGCTTTTAATTAATCTGTTTTAACTATGATTTAAATAAATAATTTAATTAAAGCCTTGATACTCGAGCTGAAATCCTTATGGATTCTAAGAGACAAGTTAGAGAAAACTTGTCTAAAGGTTTGGAAACAAAACCGACGCTCAAGTTTTAATTGTCTCTTCCAACATCTTATTTCTTTAATCCGGCTTCCTCTTTGTCAGCCTCTTCCTCTCTTCTCTCTACTTCTTTTATTTTTCTAACGTGTCAACCTTTAACCCTAAAGCCTTATGTGTTTATTTATACACATAAAAATTCAAATCCTATTCCAACTAGGACTCTCAAATAAAATAATAATATTTAAATAATATATATCTATAAACATATATATATTATATTAAATGCATATATATATATACCTTCCATAATTAACCCATTGGTTAATTAAATTATATATACCTATATATATCAATAAATATATATCCATATATATATATATTTTCATAACAATTATTAATCAATTATATTTATATATAATTATATAATTAATACAAAAATGATCATTTAAATAATTAAATAATCATGGGCCTTTATTAATTAACCTAATAAGGCTTTATACAAGCCCAAGACCACATATTTTGGTCCAACTTCCCTTAAGCCCAAATCCAATTAATTTAAATA